GAACGTGTAAAGATGGAAATGGACCGTTTAATTACTCGCATTAACTTTATTATATAGTTAGAATCGTTGAACATTCGATGTTATAACATCAACCCACCAATTATCGAATACTTTTATAACTCAATAAATCTATAAAATTTTCCATTTCCTCGTTTCCTCATCCTCGAGAAATCTCGATTTATTTCACGCATCTCGTTAGATCAGAAGGAAATATTTTTCTCACGTATCCTGTAAGCGATGAATCGTGCACGTTCACCGTTCCATCCCATTTTACTTATGCGCATAATTAGAACATCCAATTAGACGGTGTTATACCCTGCTAGTGGAAGCTTTAACACTTTGCCGACCGCTGTAATTAGCGTTCTTACGAACGCTTATCACACGGACGATCGATTTTTTTTTTTTTTTTTAGCGCATTATGAATTTCATCTCGCTTCAACGGAGAATTTAAAAGGTTAAAAATGGCCGGTTCGAAGATACCGAGTGTGTGAGGTGCGTGTAAAAAGCTTCGAGGAAGCTGTTAAGGAACGGTAATTACTTTCCATGATTCTTCAATCGATGGGACGATAAAAGCATGAGATTTCTCTGGCTCTCATCGTCACGTGAAATGTGCTTTTTGAGACCATCTTTGTCTTATTCGTCTTTTTTTCGTTCTTTTAGTTCGTTCATTTATTTTTATTGTTTCGCAATGTAGAGTAATATATAAGTTGATTATTATTATTATTATTTTTATGATAATTGATAAACAGGGTTTGATTGTTCTCTATGGAAGGGAATATAGGGAAATTTTTTAACCTCAAAGTTATTTTTTTTTATTCATCGTGTGCAGCAAGAGAAAAAGACGATGAGCGAACTTATTAACTCAACCTAGTATTTTACAGTAATTACGAAATACGAGCATATATGAGAAATTTTCGCGTGTTTTTTCGCACTACATTGCACGATCTTGCGCACTTTCACGTAGTTTTGCGCCACGCTGTGAAGCACTTGGATTCGATTAACCCCTTACCTCTCGATTTCTCAGCTGTCTGCACAAGCAATTAGTTGCTCTTTGATACGATATTGCACGAAACGAATAAAATATCGACACGTTGCGCATTGTAATATTTTTTTTACGAATTTTAAATTATTTGAAATAATCTACGAAAAAAAGAGATAAATTCTTCTTAAATACCTTCTAGACGATTCTTATTGAAATATAATCGTAAATAACACTCGTAAGAATAAATACATCGTCGAAAAATTCTGTTCAATCCTCTCCTCTACATCTTTGCCTTCTCATCCAAATAATAAATCTTCCAGTTCGAATATAAATTAATTCAAACTCCCCATCCCCCTCCTTCCTTGAATCCAATTCCACCTTAGCGAAAATACCTCATCAAAATACAAAATCATTGTTACATACTTGCATCTCATCCGTGCACCTGCGATACCCGACCAGCAGCCAACTCCTCGACATCGAAACACCCCCCCAAGCAGCCTAAAAAGAAGGAAAAAAAAAGAAAGGGGAAGAAGAAGAAGAAGAAGAAGAAGAAAAAGAAGAAGAAAAGAAAATTAGAAAGGGAACCAGCTACATCAAAAGTAACCAAGTCTTATATACCGCAGACTCCTAAATTTACGAACACATTTTTCTTCCTACTTATCCCTATATATATATATATATCTCTCTCTTTTCTTCCCACTTGGAGCACGCTAAGTGGGACAGAGTAAGAAACGATGCATACGGTGGCCGGTAGTGGCCGGAGTACCCTCCATTTTATTTCTTTCCTTTTAAACAGCGCGAATTCACCTCGCGGCGTGACGAGGAGTCGTTGCGCCCATAAATTAAAAAAAGAAAAAGAAAGAGAGAGAGAGAGAGAAAAGAAGAAGAAGAAGAAGAAGAAGAAGAAGAAGAAAAGAATGAAAACACGGTGGACCAGCGAACGTAACACGCGCCTTGGGAATTATTGCGCGGCTTGAAACGTGCTGTTGCTAATTTTTCCCTCCCCTCGCCCCCCTCCCTCCTTCCTTCCTTTCCGTCAT